CCCCCCCCGGGTCCCCCAGGGAGCTGTTGATGGGCATCTATGAGAAGGGTTTCGAGGCCCCCTCCCCCATCCAGGAGGAGTCCATTCCCGTGGCGCTGGCGGGGCGCGACATCCTGGCCCGCGCCAAGAACGGCACGGGTAAGACTGCGGCCTTCTGCATCCCGGTGCTGGAGCGGATCGACACGTCGCGCAACGAGATCCAGGCCCTGCTGCTGGTACCCACGCGTGAGCTGGCCCTGCAGACCAGCCAGGTGTGCAAGGAGCTGGGGCGGCACATGGGTGTGGAGGTCATGGTGGCCACGGGCGGTACCAACCTGCGCGAGGACATCATGCGCCTGGGCGCCACGGTGCACGTGGTGGTGGCCACCCCCGGCCGCATCCTGGACCTGGCCAGCAAGGGCGTTGCGCGACTGGGCGCCGCGGGCGTGGTGGTCATGGACGAGGCTGACAAGCTGCTCTCCCCGGAGTTCCAGCCCGTGATCGAGTCGCTGCTGGGTTTCATGCCCCCCCAGCGCCAGGTCTGCCTCTACTCCGCCACCTTCCCCGTCACGGTCAAGGCCTTCAAGGACCGCTTCCTGCGCAAGCCCTACATCATCAATCTGATGGAGGAGCTGACGCTGAAGGGCATCACCCAGTACTATGCATTTGTGGAGGAGCGGCAGAAGGTGCACTGCCTCAACACTCTATTCAACAAGCTCCAGATCAACCAGAGCATCATCTTCTGCAACTCCGTCAACAGGTGTGGGAGGATGGGTGGGTGGGAGGAGGGGGCAGGGGGAAGGGGAGGAGGGGGCGGGGGGAAAGGTGAGGAAGGGGGGGAAGGGAGGGCTGGGGGGGGGGGGCGGGGAGAGTTGGCGATAGTGAGAGTGCGGGCGCCTTTTGGGAGCATGCGACCTGGGCTTTCCCGTGTTGTATGCTCTCCACTGTGAGGTGAGGAACAGCATTCTTGACCGCCCTGACAGACCCACCTTGCCCCCGCCCACCCCTCCCTCTCCCTCTCCCAGGGTGGAGCTGCTGGCCAAGAAGATCACGGAGCTGGGCTACTCCTGCTTCTACATCCACGCCAAGATGCTGCAGAGCCACCGCAACCGCGTGTTCCACGACTTCCGCAATGGCAACTGTCGCAACCTGGTCTCCTCCGACCTCTTCACCCGCGGCATTGACATCCAGGCCGTCAACGTCGTCATCAACTTTGACTTCCCCAAGAACGCGGAGACCTACCTGCATCGCGTGGGGCGCAGCGGGCGCTTTGGCCACCTGGGCCTGGCCATCAACCTCATCACCTACGACGACCGCTTCAGCCTGTGCGTGGAGAGGAACCGGGGGAGGGGGGGTGGGTCGGGTAGATGGAGGGGTCCCGGGAGGATTGGGGGTAACAGAGGCCGGGCGTCTGGTATCCATGACAGTGCAAGAGCTCGGATTGTCCCCCTGACAGTCCCGGACTGCGCTGGGGGATGCTCAATGTGGGCATGTACTGATCAGCCTCACACCCAGGCCCCCCCGCGCACCCACCCACCGCTGCCACTCACCCACCCGCCCGTGCAGGTACCGCATCGAGCAGGAGCTGGGGACGGAAATCAAGCCCATCCCCCCCGCCAT